TCCAGTGTCTTTTGTCGCATTGCCTGCCTTGCACCTGTCTCTTATACACATCTAGATGTGTATAAGAGACAGGAGAGAGAGAGAGAGAGAGAGAGAGAGAGAGGAAGGAAAGGCAACCTCCATAGTTGGATGGATGGAGGTGTAAGGACTACGGCTACGAGGTGGAACATAGAGAAAGGTTGAAGGAGCACTTTGTGGCAGAGACTTGGCAAAGGGGTTGAGCGATTGTGTACTTGATGTAGAAAAAGGCTGGCAAGTTGCAACTGTGATGTTAAAGAACCATTGAGGGCCTTCATTGATTGCTGCTGGGTTTGGGGAGTTCAGGAGTCTTAGGCCTACATTGGTTTTCCCTCACCGTGGCAGGTCTTGCGGATAATATGGTAACCTGATTCCATAGCTGGGAACACTTTTCAATCAACTGCTGAGACTCCTGAGAGTGCCAAGCGCTTTTCACTCACACTTGCCGCTGAGCGATTGGGCATGTTTACGAGCTTTCTATGAAATTATCACTGAGTTATTTGAGTTCATTACTGTTCAGTGTTCATTAGTGTTTACCCCTTGAGTTCATTACTGCTTACCGTTGCAGTCCTAGCCGCATGTGGTCTACTTGTCTCACTGCTCTTGATGTGTGCTTGATACTCTTGATGAGGAGAGTCTTGAACTTCATGGACGCAAGGTCACTGGGTTGTTTCAAATTGGTTTGTAAGCTGAGGACAATTTCACAAGTATAGTCTGAATGATGAATTGTTGATATCGCATCTCCCTCCTCTCCAACTCTTCCTCCTCGCCTACTTCCCCTCCTCCTCATTGTTTCCTCCTCTTCCGCTTCTTCCTCCTCTCCCTCTCCTCCTCCTCCTCCTTTTCTCCTCTTCCTCCTCCTCCCCCTCCTCTCTTTCTCCTCCTCTCCTCCTCCTTTTCCTCTCTTCCTCTTCTCCTTTTCTCCTCCTCCTCCTCGTACTCACCTCCCTCCTCCTGCTGCTCCTACTACTCTCCTCTCCTCCTCTCCTCCTCTCCTCCACCTCTCCTATGCATGATCGTGGCACATGTGGGTTGCAGTAATGGCGTAATGCTGATATCTCCTCCTCCTTGTGTCCTGTATTTGACAGATAAACCTTTTTTATCCCCCAATTTAGAAGAACCTTTTTCTTGAAATCAGCATGTTCCGTGTTGGACATCGACGTGTTCTGTGTTTAAGTCTTTAAGATACTTATGCATGTCTTTGCTCCTGTGTGCAGGATCTAGCGTGCTCTTGAGATCCCGACTGGACGATCTGGGTGACGTGATTGCTGAGACGTGGGACATCCATCAGGACCTGGATCCCTACTGCACAAACTCAGAGATTGACCGCCTTTTTCAGCGGGTAGCTCATCTAAGCTGTGGATATAAGCTCGTCGGTGCTGGCGGTGGAGGATTCGCTATGCTTCTTGCTAAAGATAGCGACGCAGCGATCGCAGCCAAGGCACTCTTGGCTGAAGTGGGTGGTCTTGTTCGTGTATACAACTGGAGCTTGTGTGAGTCTTTGCAGCAGTGATTCCACAAGTCAACAGGTTAAAAGACCCCTTTGTCAAATTTTGCCCTCTGCCATGGCCTTTTGGCCATCAATTACTCCCCCCCCTTAGGTACTCATCGGAACTCACGTTGATTGGGCCGATTGACGGCTTGAGGGACAATTAACTGACGTTGATTGGGCCAATGGATCACCTAAGGGGTGATTAAGTCATGTTGATTGGCCCAATGGATCACTTAAGGGGTGATTTATGGTCACCAATTTGTACGGTAATTACCCCTCCTTAGGTTAGAATGTGTTAGATACTCGTCTAAATTACGAGGGTTAGGCAAGTCGGTCACCAACCCCTTAGGTGTTCATCGGAACTCGTGTTGATTGGGCCGATGGATCACTAAAGGGGGGATCACTGACGGGGTAATTGCTGGTCAAGGGTGACCCCTCAGGTTACATACTCATCTGACGTACCAGGGTTAGGAAAGCCGGTCATCAATTACCCCTTAGATAAGTCACCTTAACTTACTTGGGTTAGGCGTATGGGACCACCGTCGTCAGCTGACAGCTGACTTAAACCACCCGTACACCTGGGCCTGGTGGCCTTCCACCGCACGCCAAGCTTTACCGAACCGCCAGCGCCGAACCTTTTTTTTGGGCTGGGTTGGCCAGCCATTGTGGTCGGGTAGCCTCCGAAATGTCATAAATAATGGTGGGCCATTTAGAGATAAATAAGGGTATCCAACGTTACAAAATTCTGCTAACCAATATGATAATCAGAGTGTCAAATGGGTTAATGAACTGACTAAGTGGGGTTGGGAAGCACTGCCGCAGCAGATTGGTCATGAACTTTGGGCTATAATGGACACATTAGAAATTACTAAATTAGCTACTCAACTGGCCAACCCCTTTTTTTGTTTTTTTTTGGCCAACCCCTGGTTAATTAGTTCCAATTAGATAATCCACTAACTGAAAGAGAGATAACCCACTGACTGAAAGAGAGATAACCCACTAACCAAATCGGGATAGCGCAACGACCTGGAGATCTGCATCCATTTTTGGTCCTGTGTGAAAGGACCGAAAAGAGTATGAATTACTATGAAAGGACTAAAAAGGGGTACTGTCTTGCCATTTCAGGAGGGCTTTCCAAAAATGGAGGAGACTTTCAACAGCAGTTCCTTCTTTCTTTAGCCAAGATTCAAAACTGGAGGGGCACAACAAGATGTTTGTTTCTGAAAATAGAAGCATGCGTATAATACCTGTTGTATAGTGAGTAGCACTGAGTACAATTTGCCCCCCATCCCGGCTCTCTCTCTCTCTCTCTCTCTCTCTCTCTCTCTCTCTCTCTCTCTCTCTCTCTCTCCTCTCTCTCTCTCTCTCTC